CGACGACGACGACGACGACGACGACGACGATGAGGACGAGGACGCGGACGAGGAAGAGGAGGAGGAGGAGCAGCAGGAGGAGGAGGAGGGCGCCATCGACAGGGAAGGTGAGGACCACGAGGTCCGCCGGCTCGACGCCGTCGTCACCCGCGCCCGCCCCCTCACTCTTATCCGCAATTGCGGAGTGCTACGTACCTACTTATCGACACCGTCATCCACATCTACATCTTAAGTTCCACATCATCGCAAGCCGATGTGGTACAAATTTCAACCCGGGCAGACATGCTACCTTCTGGACAAAAGTTGCATACATAAGCAAATGGTTTTGCTTGGGGATGTACGTCCATCGCTTCACAGTGAGGTTACGTGGCCGGTTGGATCGTACCAGTTTGGCTTGTCATGCTGATTGGAAAGAATATCAGCTGCTTCGGATCAGTCCCAGCTGGTTGGGATCAGTCCGACATGCAGGTTCTGGGGGGGGGGGTAAAAGCGGGTCCTGCGGGGTGATGCTGGGGGGCGGTCCCGAGTCAGCATACCGTCAACCCATATCATAAGGATGCGCGGTAAGAATGCAAGGGCCTTGGAGGCCCAGGTGAACGTTTTTCGAACGAGGTCGGCCAGCGAAAGTGGCCAAGGATGGGCCGAGGGGGCAGGAATGCCAAGGTGCCCTTGGGAAGGTCGCCCATCCATCTTGTGCAGGGCTTAGGGTTTTGGGTTTAGGGTTTAGGGTTTAGGGTTCCGGGTTTGGGGCTTCTCTGCGCGCAGCGGCCGACAGTCTAAGGCAATGCTGCCCCCCCTTCGGCAAGCTTGATTGGGGGGGCGTCTAGCCGACCCGATCATGCTTGCCGAAGGGCGCAAGACTCACACCATCTTCCCACCCCAGGCCGAGAGGCCGGCGACCTCCCACACTTAAGCCTTCTAGGGTTTGGGAGAGGCCCGAAATTCTCCCACGCACACACACGCACACGCGCACACGCGCACACACACACACACACACGCACACACACACACAACGCACACACACACACACACACAACGCACACACACACACACACACACACACACACACACAAGGCACACACACACACACACAACGCACACACACACACACACACACACACATACACACACACACACACACACACAGGCGCTCCCAGGCGCTGCCAGGCGCTCCCAGGCGCGCTCCAGGCGCGCCCAGGCGCTGTCAAGCGCTCCCCAGCGAGTCCAGGCGCCCCCAGGAACTCCCCTGCGCTCCCAGGCTCTCCGAAGCGCTCTCCAGCGCTCCAGATGCTCCCAGGCGCTCCCAGGCGCTCCCCGGCGCTCCTGGGGGCTTCCGAAGCGCTCCCATGCAGGTGCGCCGAACACGTGCTTTCACACGTCAGAGAAGTATGAGTCCCGGTCGAGGCTCCAAAGCTGCCGGGCTCAGGGTGTTCTTTTCGACGAGAATCTGGGGGAGATGGTCCCCGAGTCGCGACTCCCCAGGGTGGGAGAGGGCAGCGCAGGGCTGCCATGGCAACCCACTCTGGCTACCTGCTGAGAAGCATCTCAGAGGAGCCCTGTCCTTCGTGGAGGGCATCGCGGATATGCGATGGGTGGGCAGATGCACAACGAGGTGCTTGGGAATTTGGGTTTGGGGTTTAGGCAGTTCCCTGGGAGGGTGGTCCCCTGGCCCGAGGGTCCCCCTCCGAGGGGCCCCCACGAAGCCCCCAGGAGCCCCCTCCGGGGACCGCCAGGAGGCCCCGGGAGGCTGCCAAGAGGCTCCCAAGACACCCCCCCCCTCCTCCTCCATCTCCTCCATCTCCTCCATCTCCTCCTCCTCCTCCTCCTCCTCCTCCTCCTCCTCCTCCTCCTCCTCCTCCTCCTCCTCCTCCTCCTCCTCCTCCTCCTCCTCCTCCTCCTTCGCCTCCTCCTCCTCCTCCTCCTCGTCCTCCTCCTCCAGAACTTCCCCCCCAAAGAGGCCCCCGAGAGCGCCCCAGACGGACTTCAGGAAGCATCGGGGCCCTCTTCCTTCAGCGCGCCAGCCAAGGCAACACAGCCGAAGCGAAATGGAGCAGCGTCGGAGTTGAGTCGAAGGGAAGCCCCCTCCCTAGGATCCTAGGATCCCTTCCCACCTGGGGGGTAGGGCTGGAGGGGTCCCGGGGGGAGGTCCTGGGTCAAAATACCCCCCCCCATCCAGTGGGACCCGTGGCCCAAGAGGCCCCCCAGAAGCCCACACGAGGCCCCGAGGCGCCACAAAGGAACCGCCAGGGAGCCCCAGGAGGCTCCCAAAGGCTAAAACAACCCAAAAAACTTCGTGGGGGTCGCGGCACTGACCGTAAAGCCTTAGCAATACGGCAAGGGAAAAAAGACTGAAGAATTACGCTACCGGGGATCTCCCACATACTTATTACATCTACGACGACGACAACGACGACGACGACAACGACGACCACGACGACCACGACGACGACGACGACGACGACGACGACGACGACGACCACTACTACTTCTACTTCTACTACCACTACTACTACTACTACTACTACTACTACTACTACTACTACTACTACTACTACTACTACTACTACTACTACGACTACTACTACTACTACTACTACTACTACTACTACTACTACTACTACTACTACTACTACTACTACTACTACTACTACTACTACTACTACTACTACTACTACTACTACTACTACTACTACTACTACTACTACTACTACTACTACTACTACTACTACTACTACTACTACTACTATTACTACTGCTACTACTACTACACTACTGCTGCTGCTGCTGCATGGCTTGACTACTCACTACTCTATACCTACTACTACACTATACTACTACTACTACTACTCTGACTACTACCTAACTACTACGACTACTACTACTATACCTACTACGTACTACTACTACTATAACTACTACTACTACTACTTTCTCTCATACTACTACTTCTACTACTACCACTACTACTTACTACTACTACTACTACTGGAATACTACTCCTACTACTACTACTACTACTACTACTACTACGACTACTACTACTACTACTACTACTACTACTACTACTACTACTACTAACTACGACTACTACTACGACGACGACTACTACTACTATTACTTCTACTACTACTCCTACTACTACTACTACTACTACTACTACTACTACTACTACTACTACTACTACTACTACTACACTACTACTCCACTACTACTACTACTACTACTACTACGACTACTACTACTACTACTACTACTACTACGAC